GTATTTTTAGAAATTAAATTTCTTTCGCATTTCGAACGTTATTAAAACTTATCATTTATTGGTGTTGGAATCCTTTAAAAGTCCTTCATTTAATTAAATGATGACTAGATAAGTACTCGATAGGAGTGGATAAATGACACTATGCGATAAAATTCTATATGACTTACTGCAGAATTACGATGCCGTTAATGCTTTTAACGCACTTATCCCTTTTTCTATGCCGTGTATGCATCAATGAATGACACAATTAATAATTTTCAATCGCATTTTGTATGCATTATTAATAGTGCGAAGCGTTCGCGCGTAACTAATAAGTTGATGCCCTTAATTTTCAAAGTTCGTTACCCTTTCGCGCGATCAAGCATTGCGATTCAATTCCATTAAAAGCTTCCTTCTCTGCTTGACGAGGAATATCTCCCACGGGATACATTTTTAATCCCACGCCATTCTATAACCAAGGCAGAATCGCCGATGTGTCAAGTATCTAATTTGACACGTGCTCCGACCTGTTACAAAACACGTAGCAAACATCGCATCGCAGTATCGAGATTCCCCTGTGACGTTATGTCGAGCGGGTAAAGCAAACTATACAAGCCACCAGCAATGGAGCCCTTTGGGTTCCGTCATATAGTGTGTGATGCGGTGGCTAACGAGAAAACGTACTGGGGGAACATACACGTTTTGTTCTAGGCTTTGCGATATTTAATATAAAAACCGATATTACACACGTTTCAGAGGCAGCTGCATTCCTTTCACCATTACGTGGAGTTCACGAGGTTGTGGCAAGTTTTTGGAACTACTCTCGGAAGGTTTGTATATAAGTATTTAATAATAATAGCCGAGTCTAATTTTAATTGGAAGTAGGAGTTTTATTTAATAGGACGCTATTTTTATTATCGAGGTCGAAAATCCAGATACGAATGCAGAATGAATATCGAATATCGACCTTTTTCTTCCTCTCTTGGTTCTAGATTTCTAAAATAGTTACAATTAGTTTCTTTCTTTGAAGATTAAGATCGCTATTTACAGTCCGTTCTTAAGATAAGTACTTTAAGATAAATACTTTAAGATTAATACGGCTCTGTGATTGATTTTTTGAGACTATAGATATATTTAAGATAGTTTCAAATAATAAGTACCGTCTATGAATATTAAATCAGAATTTATTATTCGACAGATACTTTCGATTCTTGGTATAATACGTTCTCAGGTTTGTTTAGAAACTCATAAAACACAAGCCATTTGTATTTAACTAAGTAAAATAAGATATCGTTATTTGAACTGAAATTGTAACGTCTTTATCATTTATAATATTTAAAAATTTTTCATAATTTGCTTCTTAAAATGTTAGAGTAAATCAAAAACTTTAAGCTACATTTTCATGTTAAGAATGAATAAGATACTCAGTAAAACTCTACGTGGTTATAAAAACAAAGTATATATTGCAACGAAGAGGAAAAACAACGGCGGATGCTCCGCATACCGGCCATTCTTTTTCGCGGTTAAGTCCTTGCCCCGCGCGTTCAAGCTTTTTGTAACCATAATACTTCGAAGAGACAATAGACTTGTCTTCTTGCGAAAAACGTTTCGCATCTCCGTGGCGGTATGTAAAACTCGGGATTACGCTTCGAGCGAAAAATTATCGCTTCGCGAAAGTCTTCTCTTTTAACCGCCTGACATGATAAAAGCAAGATTCCTTAGTCCGCGTGCCGGGCGAGTTTTCAAAAAACTTGCAGTATTAATTTTAACTTTTTGATATTCTCATTTATATTGCAGGAAACAGAAAACTCGAGAAATCGTACATTTTTACGCTAATAGATCCGTACGTTATTAAAAAGATTATTCGACTCTTTTAAGACCAAGATTAAGAACTTCAAACAATTCGAAATGATAGAAAGGACTAAAAACCAACGCTGGTTAATTGATAATATTTACTAATTTTTCAAAATCAAAGTACATAATTAAACGAACGTTTTATTCTACCACACATTTTCAATGTGTTAGTCAAATACATACATAATAATCAATCCTACTTTACAATACATTTTTATAAAAGTTAAATAATTAAAACAATAACTGTCATGTAAAAATTTTGCGGTGGAACAATTACTTCTTTCTTCTAATTCAATTATTTCGAATGCAATCTGTAGGTATTATTTCCTTTTGTTGTTCTTTATTTAAAAATATGTCAAATTCAGTCGGATAGCCAATTGCAGTAGCGTGATGGGAAGTCGATCTCATAAATGTCATATAAACCTCCAAAAGTAAATCGATCTAGATCGAGACTCGTGTTTCTTTGAAAATTACCCATTGCAATCAATTCATAAAAATTTAGAAATAATAATTTACATTACATTAATCCCTATTGACTTTAAATATTTACTGGAATATTTACTGGATACTGGACTAATATTTACTGGAATAATTATGCTTTACGCCACTTTACGGAATAGGATATACCTATTAAATATACCTGTTAAATATTTTTCTTATAAACATAATTTAACGACGTTAAAAGTGACGATAAATTCTATCAATCTTATAATAATAATTATTTGTAAATTGATTTTGTCATACCTGTTAAAGGAAGCTTAAGGAATGGGATTCCTTTGCTTAAAACCATGTAATAAGACGATGCCTTTAATGGAATCTAAACTCCTCAAATTTTGAATACGAAATTCGCATAATGATGAATCGCGTCGCTAACGTGGAAATGAAGCGACTCGATCTAGTCTCAATTAACGTGCACCACGGTTGCGCGACGTAACGTCATGTAAATTAGAGCGTAGCTCCCGCGACATTACTCTACGACGGCTGTTATCACGAAGGAATCGACCGGATGTAGTGGATGCAGTGGTGGAGATAACGGTTGTTTCCTACCGGCGACGTATCTAAAGTAGATAAGCCATGAAATGCGGAAATCTGCGGACGAAAGCAAGTTATTTTGATGATGATTTACTTATTATCTCTATGTCGCTGTTAAATTAGCTATCGTATTTTCCTCACCTTGTGTAGGTATATCTTTTCATTTAATTCCATTTTGCCTCTCTTATTATAATTAACATAAGAGAAATCAAATCAATTGCTTTTTTTCCATGTTTATGTTACGTTAGAAAAGATATATATAGATATACGTTTAGAAAAGATTAATTATATTAATGGAAGAATATATTTATTGCCGAATAAACACATAATTATAGAATTTCTAATCTTGAAATATTTTTAGAATTATACTATATATAGAATTATATTACATACATATAGATGTTGGAAAGGAATTAAAAGTTAGAAACTAAGAAATATACGTTAGTGTTCGGAGAGATAAAAATAATTCGTAATGTCAAGTGTATAACTGAAATTATGGTACATGCCGTTGATTAATAAACAAAAACGATGAGCGATTGAAATTACCACAGGTTTGTCCATTTGCGTGGAGCGTCCCGGTAACGAGAGTCTGGACAAATACGTGGGCGTGAACAAGTGGAAGCTATCGACCAATATTGCTGGTAGCAGCAATCAATATAGCCAATCGACCAGTTCGATCTGCCACGGAAGATGGTACGGCGATTCGAAGCTGGTAGATTGTCACGATTGGCGATGCGTCCGAAAATCGACCCCGTACACCACGCAATGGCTCCGACGTCGACGTCGCAGGGGAGCAAATAGCAATGCCGTTGTCAACAATACGGATAGAGTCATGAGAAGGCGAAGAAGAGGCAGACGACGGAAGAGGAGTAGAAGAAGAAGGCGCGACGTCGCTGTCGCGAAGCGGTGAATGTTTTCCGGAGATCTATGTTCTCCGACAGCTCTTGTGAATGTCATCGGTGTTAGAATCCCTTTCTCCTATCTATTATTATTTATTAATTATGCAGGATATATCGTAAGATACTTCAATATGAGATTCTTTGAGAAACTCTATTCTAATTTGATCGAGCAGTCAGGTTTTTTTCGTAACAAAAATATTGAGGTCTCAATTTGAAACTATAATTAACTGAAAGCCGACTTCACTTCGCAAATTAAGCTTCAAAGCTACAGGTAGATAGACAAACGAAAACTTACTTCTTATTTAAGTTCGACTGTACTTTAATAGGATTTTAATTTGAGACTATTTCATTTGACTGAGGCATTTAATTTTAAGAATTAGAAAGAATTAGGCGTCCAATTAAATTTTTCGCTGCAGAAAAATTAGCTTCGAATTAGTCAAAGAATCCATTCTTAAAATGTACGCAAACTTTATGGTATTACAATGTATCCTGTATATTTAATTTAATATTATTACTACAGTTATTATTTATATTTAATTTTCTTTTACATTAATCGCTATTCTTATTTATTTTGTTACCATCTTTAAAACTTTTTCTGCATTAAGTTTTCTAAGAGGGTGAAGTTACGGAATATAAAATAAAATCTATTCTACTTTTTTTTGTTCTTTTTTTTTCTTCTACTTTGCTATAGACAGCAATTGCGCGGACCCATTGCCTAGATTATCTCGATAATTATCATATCGATTTTATCATTAGCGCAAGCTTGCGAAACGTCCATCGGGAGAAGAGTGAATATCTTATTCCCTTTGGAGGGAATCTCTCTCACAAGATAATCGATATTAGCGTCAATATATATATATATATTGACGCTAATATCGATTATCTTGTGAGAGAGATTCCCTCCAAAGGGAATAAGATATTCACTCTTCTCCCGATGGACGTTTCGCAAGCTTGCGCTAATGATAAAATCGATATGATAATTATCGAGATAATCTAGGCAATGGGTCCGCGCAATTGCTGTCTATAGCAAAGTAGAAGAAAAAAAAAGAACAAAAAAAAGTAGAATAGATTTTATTTTATATTCCGTAACTTCACCCTCTTAGAAAACTTAATGCAGAAAAAGTTTTAAAGATGGTAACAAAATAAATAAGAATAGCGATTAATGTAAAAGAAAATTAAATATAAATAATAACTGTAGTAATAATATTAAATTAAATATACAGGATACATTGTAATACCATAAAGTTTGCGTACATTTTAAGAATGGATTCTTTGACTAATTCGAAGCTAATTTTTCTGCAGCGAAAAATTTAATTGGACGCCTAATTCTTTCTAATTCTTAAAATTAAATGCCTCAGTCAAATGAAATAGTCTCAAATTAAAATCCTATTAAAGTACAGTCGAACTTAAATAAGAAGTAAGTTTTCGTTTGTCTATCTACCTGTAGCTTTGAAGCTTAATTTGCGAAGTGAAGTCGGCTTTCAGTTAATTATAGTTTCAAATTGAGACCTCAATATTTTTGTTACGAAAAAAACCTGACTGCTCGATCAAATTAGAATAGAGTTTCTCAAAGAATCTCATATTGAAGTATCTTACGATATATCCTGCATAATTAATAAATAATAATAGATAGGAGAAAGGGATTCTAACACCGATGACATTCACAAGAGCTGTCGGAGAACATAGATCTCCGGAAAACATTCACCGCTTCGCGACAGCGACGTCGCGCCTTCTTCTTCTACTCCTCTTCCGTCGTCTGCCTCTTCTTCGCCTTCTCATGACTCTATCCGTATTGTTGACAACGGCATTGCTATTTGCTCCCCTGCGACGTCGACGTCGGAGCCATTGCGTGGTGTACGGGGTCGATTTTCGGACGCATCGCCAATCGTGACAATCTACCAGCTTCGAATCGCCGTACCATCTTCCGTGGCAGATCGAACTGGTCGATTGGCTATATTGATTGCTGCTACCAGCAATATTGGTCGATAGCTTCCACTTGTTCACGCCCACGTATTTGTCCAGACTCTCGTTACCGGGACGCTCCACGCAAATGGACAAACCTGTGGTAATTTCAATCGCTCATCGTTTTTGTTTATTAATCAACGGCATGTACCATAATTTCAGTTATACACTTGACATTACGAATTATTTTTATCTCTCCGAACACTAACGTATATTTCTTAGTTTCTAACTTTTAATTCCTTTCCAACATCTATATGTATGTAATATAATTCTATATATAGTATAATTCTAAAAATATTTCAAGATTAGAAATTCTATAATTATGTGTTTATTCGGCAATAAATATATTCTTCCATTAATATAATTAATCTTTTCTAAACGTATATCTATATATATCTTTTCTAACGTAACATAAACATGGAAAAAAAGCAATTGATTTGATTTCTCTTATGTTAATTATAATAAGAGAGGCAAAATGGAATTAAATGAAAAGATATACCTACACAAGGTGAGGAAAATACGATAGCTAATTTAACAGCGACATAGAGATAATAAGTAAATCATCATCAAAATAACTTGCTTTCGTCCGCAGATTTCCGCATTTCATGGCTTATCTACTTTAGATACGTCGCCGGTAGGAAACAACCGTTATCTCCACCACTGCATCCACTACATCCGGTCGATTCCTTCGTGATAACAGCCGTCGTAGAGTAATGTCGCGGGAGCTACGCTCTAATTTACATGACGTTACGTCGCGCAACCGTGGTGCACGTTAATTGAGACTAGATCGAGTCGCTTCATTTCCACGTTAGCGACGCGATTCATCATTATGCGAATTTCGTATTCAAAATTTGAGGAGTTTAGATTCCATTAAAGGCATCGTCTTATTACATGGTTTTAAGCAAAGGAATCCCATTCCTTAAGCTTCCTTTAACAGGTATGACAAAATCAATTTACAAATAATTATTATTATAAGATTGATAGAATTTATCGTCACTTTTAACGTCGTTAAATTATGTTTATAAGAAAAATATTTAACAGGTATATTTAATAGGTATATCCTATTCCGTAAAGTGGCGTAAAGCATAATTATTCCAGTAAATATTAGTCCAGTATCCAGTAAATATTCCAGTAAATATTTAAAGTCAATAGGGATTAATGTAATGTAAATTATTATTTCTAAATTTTTATGAATTGATTGCAATGGGTAATTTTCAAAGAAACACGAGTCTCGATCTAGATCGATTTACTTTTGGAGGTTTATATGACATTTATGAGATCGACTTCCCATCACGCTACTGCAATTGGCTATCCGACTGAATTTGACATATTTTTAAATAAAGAACAACAAAAGGAAATAATACCTACAGATTGCATTCGAAATAATTGAATTAGAAGAAAGAAGTAATTGTTCCACCGCAAAATTTTTACATGACAGTTATTGTTTTAATTATTTAACTTTTATAAAAATGTATTGTAAAGTAGGATTGATTATTATGTATGTATTTGACTAACACATTGAAAATGTGTGGTAGAATAAAACGTTCGTTTAATTATGTACTTTGATTTTGAAAAATTAGTAAATATTATCAATTAACCAGCGTTGGTTTTTAGTCCTTTCTATCATTTCGAATTGTTTGAAGTTCTTAATCTTGGTCTTAAAAGAGTCGAATAATCTTTTTAATAACGTACGGATCTATTAGCGTAAAAATGTACGATTTCTCGAGTTTTCTGTTTCCTGCAATATAAATGAGAATATCAAAAAGTTAAAATTAATACTGCAAGTTTTTTGAAAACTCGCCCGGCACGCGGACTAAGGAATCTTGCTTTTATCATGTCAGGCGGTTAAAAGAGAAGACTTTCGCGAAGCGATAATTTTTCGCTCGAAGCGTAATCCCGAGTTTTACATACCGCCACGGAGATGCGAAACGTTTTTCGCAAGAAGACAAGTCTATTGTCTCTTCGAAGTATTATGGTTACAAAAAGCTTGAACGCGCGGGGCAAGGACTTAACCGCGAAAAAGAATGGCCGGTATGCGGAGCATCCGCCGTTGTTTTTCCTCTTCGTTGCAATATATACTTTGTTTTTATAACCACGTAGAGTTTTACTGAGTATCTTATTCATTCTTAACATGAAAATGTAGCTTAAAGTTTTTGATTTACTCTAACATTTTAAGAAGCAAATTATGAAAAATTTTTAAATATTATAAATGATAAAGACGTTACAATTTCAGTTCAAATAACGATATCTTATTTTACTTAGTTAAATACAAATGGCTTGTGTTTTATGAGTTTCTAAACAAACCTGAGAACGTATTATACCAAGAATCGAAAGTATCTGTCGAATAATAAATTCTGATTTAATATTCATAGACGGTACTTATTATTTGAAACTATCTTAAATATATCTATAGTCTCAAAAAATCAATCACAGAGCCGTATTAATCTTAAAGTATTTATCTTAAAGTACTTATCTTAAGAACGGACTGTAAATAGCGATCTTAATCTTCAAAGAAAGAAACTAATTGTAACTATTTTAGAAATCTAGAACCAAGAGAGGAAGAAAAAGGTCGATATTCGATATTCATTCTGCATTCGTATCTGGATTTTCGACCTCGATAATAAAAATAGCGTCCTATTAAATAAAACTCCTACTTCCAATTAAAATTAGACTCGGCTATTATTATTAAATACTTATATACAAACCTTCCGAGAGTAGTTCCAAAAACTTGCCACAACCTCGTGAACTCCACGTAATGGTGAAAGGAATGCAGCTGCCTCTGAAACGTGTGTAATATCGGTTTTTATATTAAATATCGCAAAGCCTAGAACAAAACGTGTATGTTCCCCCAGTACGTTTTCTCGTTAGCCACCGCATCACACACTATATGACGGAACCCAAAGGGCTCCATTGCTGGTGGCTTGTATAGTTTGCTTTACCCGCTCGACATAACGTCACAGGGGAATCTCGATACTGCGATGCGATGTTTGCTACGTGTTTTGTAACAGGTCGGAGCACGTGTCAAATTAGATACTTGACACATCGGCGATTCTGCCTTGGTTATAGAATGGCGTGGGATTAAAAATGTATCCCGTGGGAGATATTCCTCGTCAAGCAGAGAAGGAAGCTTTTAATGGAATTGAATCGCAATGCTTGATCGCGCGAAAGGGTAACGAACTTTGAAAATTAAGGGCATCAACTTATTAGTTACGCGCGAACGCTTCGCACTATTAATAATGCATACAAAATGCGATTGAAAATTATTAATTGTGTCATTCATTGATGCATACACGGCATAGAAAAAGGGATAAGTGCGTTAAAAGCATTAACGGCATCGTAATTCTGCAGTAAGTCATATAGAATTTTATCGCATAGTGTCATTTATCCACTCCTATCGAGTACTTATCTAGTCATCATTTAATTAAATGAAGGACTTTTAAAGGATTCCAACACCAATAAATGATAAGTTTTAATAACGTTCGAAATGCGAAAGAAATTTAATTTCTAAAAATACTAACGTTTCTTAATCATTAAATGGACCAAACGAATAATAATAATGTCTGACTATTTTAGTGATTATTTTACTATAAATGAAAAAATAATTTTAAAAACTAGATATTTTATTAATATAGAAAACATAATTATTGAAAAGTCAAAAAGTTTCAGAATCATATCTTTTACACAAAAAACCTAATATTAATGTAAAAATGGAAACAGTCAATAATGACCGCTTGATTTATAGTAATAAATAGTAATTTTGCGCTTTAATTTTCCCACAAATCTGTCGTTTTATCTACTTTTGCGCTGGCAATCAGAGAAAACGGAAAAGACATTGTTTCTGCAGCACGAATTGGGAACATGTGTGGCAAATCACATTTCGCACGAACCCGAAGCACGGAGGCTTGACCTACCTTTTATCGACGATCCTATCCTTGATCCTTACATCCGTACTGTTGCCGTCACTTGGAAAAATCTCAAGAAGCGTCACACCTATGGCAAATGAAAGGAAATCGCCTAGGATCGAACAACGGTGGTAGACAGACGTCAAGAATTTCGCATCGCGCTAGATACAATCGAAGATAATCCGAGTCTTCTCGTTCTTTAGAAACGGGAAACGTTTGAGAAATGTCAGACCATTATAGTTTTTTACAGAAACTAAGAATTCAAGGAAGAATATAGAAGAAATTAATATTTCTTCTTACACCTCAATTTTCTCCAATATAATTTAATCCTCAATCATAATCACGCGATTATCTTCAATTATAATCACGCGATTATTATTGCAAATCGTAATAATTATTAAAAGAAGAATTATTGTTTGATTATTTTAGGTTGTTTGTGTTTGTTTATGAAATAAGAGTAAAAAATGTGACCTCATTTAACTAATTGCATTGTGCAAATTCAACGAGTCTAATTAACCTGGGAATAATTATTTGGAGTGTTTTTATATCCCGGAGGTGAAAAAATGTGAATTGTAAAATTTTGCTCTTTGCGGATATTATTTAACATATCTTTTTTCTCTTTTAACAATTATTCTTTACAAACATTTAAATACACAATTTTATTGAAAACTAACAATAGAAAAGTATCGTATTGATTAAAATCATTCTTTAAATATATTATTGTAATATAAGTTGTTATATTTAATGTTTACTATATTTAATATCTGTTTGTTTTACTTACAATATTTATTTGTTTTTATTTTTTGATATTTATTTCTTTTAAAAAATTATAATTAAATCTATATCCATAAGATTCTTAAATATTAATAAAATAAAAATAATTGAAAAACAATTAAAATAGTACAATGTTAGTGATTTTAATTGTAGTGTAAAAACTGATGATCCTTTACGTAAAAAAAATCAGATTTCAAGGTTAATTCTTGCTCTTCGGAAATATGAGGTCTGATCAAAAAATAAGCAGACTTCTTGAATTACTCAGCAACAGAACGTCCTAGCGACGTGCGGTTTACAGCATTACAATCGTTATTATCTTCCGAGTAACTAGCTTTTTTTAAATTATTTACATCTCGTTTAATTTCAAAGTTATTGCTACGTGAGTGCAACGTGTTTTAGTGTTCGTGGCGATTTTCGACTCGAACTGAATTTTTATTTTGCGAACTAATTTTAATTTTGGGAACAAGAAAAAGGGAGCAAGGCCTGGGGAGGACAGTCGTCTGATTTTTGGCACATAACTTGCGAATTAACAAGGCTGAGTGGGCAAGCATTGTCATAGTGAAGGAACCATGAATTGTCTCGCCACAACTGTGGCCTCTTTTTACGATTTTTTTCGCGCAATCTTTTCAAAACGCCATCGTAGTACTGACAGTTGATTGTTTAACCTTGAGGCAAAAATTGTAAAAATTCATTTCGAGGCAAAAATCGAACACTAAAACGCGTTTTTCACTCAAATAAGCAATAACTCTGAAACTAAACAAGTTGTAAATAATTTTTAAAAAGCCAGTTATTCGGAAGATTATAACGATTG